TTAGGTGTTTTTAGTTTTTTTCTTAGTTTAGTTTAAATCATGTTGATTTATTTTAATTTAAGTTGTTTTATTTTAGTTTTATATTAAATTACTTTTATTTTGTTTAATATTGATTTAGTTTTATGCATTTGCAAGTGTACAAATGAAAAGGCTTCAATTGGTGAAGAAAGTACATGAATGGCCAGTGCTTCTCTCGTACATGTTTCACTATTTTGAGTATAATTCTCATTCTAAATGTTCAATTGATGTGATTCTTGAGTTATTGGAAAGCTAAGAGATAGGACTATAACTTTCATGTTGACCATTTTGTCCAGTTCATCCCAGATCAAGGAGAAACTTGCGTCACAAGTTCATTGAGTGCAGCAAATTGCACAGTGGAGACAGCAAGTATGGTGTCAAGATGCCAAAAAGTTGAGGCCATGGCATTGTGTCGATATCTCAAGAAAAGCTTTTCCCAACTTTATTAAAATTAGATTTTTTGGAGGCTATTTAAAAGCACTTTTAAAGCAATTGAAAGGCATAATTAAACTAGGATTTCTCCAAAGAAAAAAAAAACTATCAAGCACTCAAGAAAGCGAAGAAAAACTTGGAAGATTGAAGATTGAAGACTTGACAATCTTTAGTTTTCTTTTCTTCTCTATTTCTTCTTTGATTTTATTGAATTGTTATTGATAACTTCTTTGGATTATGTTTTTATTATTCATCATGAACTAATTTTTTTTATCTAAGATTACAATTGAACTCAACATGTAGTTTAGATTTTTAATTTTTCTCTTGCTTATGAATAATGGAATACAAGTTGTTTATTCCAATCTTGTGTTTAAGGCTTCTAATTTCCTAATCACTAATTAGATTGATCTCAAAACCTAAATGCGGCTTAAAAAAGAGAGTTTAGTGTAAGCCATGAATGGAATACCATAAGTTCAAATTCACTTAGTTAATTGGGTAATTTGATTTACGTATAAGATAAGAATATATTTATACGTCTTATGTAGCCAAGATTAAAGCCTGAGCTTAATGAGTTTGTGTATAATTTAATTTTTATAGGAATATAGTGAATATGTTAAGATAAATATTTTTATAAGAATATCGGAAGAGACTTATAAATAATTTAGGAACTCTAGGTTAGCAACTCAATTTATTTAGTAAGTCAAAGGAAGGAGACAAAATTCAAATAAAGTGTTGAGGGATATTGTAATCCTAGGTTTGTTTATTGATTAATTTTTCTAGTTAAGTTTAGCTATTGTTTAGTTTTAGTTTTGCTTTTAGATAATCACTTCTTTCGATAGTTTGAATAAGATTAGGTTGTGATAATTTTAATATTTAGCAAAAGCTAGTACAATTCTCTGTGGGATTCGACACTATATTTACCACTATGTTACTTGTTAATGATATGTGACTTGCGTGGTAAATTCTACAACAATCTTGGACCTAGATCTCAATACTTTTATCGCAAAATAGTTTTATTTTTGGGTTTTAGCCTGAAAGTCTCGAGACTCCTTGTGGAAGTCTCGATACCTATGTTCTAGGTATCAAATCTCAAGACTTATGAGTGAAGTCTCGAGACTTTATTCTTCCCAAGCATAAGGTATCGATACCTTTTAGCCATTTCTCAATACCTTTGCTTCATAATGTTATTTCAAAGTGAAAAATCAAGTCCTTTGGCCCCATTTGAATCTCAACTTTCCCAAAACTCATTTAAAATCATTTGGAAGATAGTTTTAAGCAAAAAGTGTTTAGAAATCATTCACGAAAACTTTAAATTCTTAACTTACCAAGTTAAGTTACACTTCTGTTTTTTAGTTGAAGGTAGGATTTCACATAAAGTCTGCAAAATATGGTTTGAAACAATCACCAAGAGTTTGGTTTGCAAAATTCAATTTCACTACTACTTAGCATGGTTATACTTCTAGTTTTGCATTATTTATTCGACATATTGACCATGACATGGTTTTTCTTCTTCTCTATGTATATGATATGATTACAATTGGTGATAATAAACTTGTATTACAAAATTACAATATCTTAGTTAGCATTTTAAAATGAAAGATCTTAGAACCTCTTAGTTATTTCTTGGGGTTTGAAGTCTCCTATTTTTTTTTAACGATCACTATATATCTCTCAAGCTAAGTATGCATCTAATATACTTTCTCACGTTGGTATTACTAACAGTGAAACTGTCTCCATTCTTTTGTAACATAATGTTAAACTTATTTAGTATTCCTCTTACTGATCTTACTTTATATCGTCAACTGATTGCGAGTTTGATCTATATCATAGTGACTCAACTTGATATTGCTTATAATACTCATTTAGTCAACCAATTTGTGGCTACTCCCAATTCATCTTATTTTTCAACTATTTTGTGTATTCTACACTATATTAAAGGTAAACTCTTTCATGAACTTCATTTCTCCGCACACTCATCTTTGATATTATTTGAGTATTTTGATGTTGACTAGACAAATGATCTCTCAAATTGTCACTTAATCATTGGTTATTATTTTTTTCTTTTTGGTAATTCTCTAATTTCTTGGTGAAGCAAAAAACAAATTGTAATTGTCCTATCTAGCATTAAGTCTAAATATCATGCTCCTGCATATGCTACTTCAGAGTTACTTTGACTTCATTTATTATTAAAGGATATGGGCATTGTCCAATCTTTTGTCACTGTCTTTAATTGTGATAATTGAAATGCTATCCAAATTGCTCACAATGATATTTTTCAGAAATGTACAAAGCATATTGAGATTAATCTTCATTTTGTGCATCATTATGTGACTCAAGGGACTCTTTTTCTCATTGCTATGACCTTTTTAAATCAAGTTGCCAATATCTTTACCAAGACTCTTCTTCTTAGTCGATTTCAAGAGTTAGTTTCCAGGCTCAAGTTGACAATTACTAGGCCACCTTGAATTACTATAGTCAAAGTTTAAATAGCAAAGAGTACTGTCATATATATCTAACTATATACTGTAGTCTAAGCAGTTAATAATATTATATTATAACTCTAATTAAATAATTTATATAATTATCTTAACAAATAAAAAAACAAAAAATCACCCACAAAATGGATATGAAATGAGTATGTGATGAAACTGAGTGGCCTCCTCAACTTGTACTAATAGCTTTTGATAATACATTTAAATGCTGAGTTCACATCATAATCGAAGACAAGGGAAGTTAATTAAGAATATCAACAACATAACTAAATATGTAAATTAATTATCATCAGATTAAGAATGAGTTTGTTTATATATATATATATTTGAAAAAAGAATAATTCGAATCATATTCTTTAAAAAAAATTATGTATAAATCAATTAGTTAAATATTTGAATATAAAAATGAATTTACTTCAAGAAAAATATAGAAAAGAAATCAATGTACATAGTGGCGTTGAAATGCAAAGAAACAAAATGAAAAAGGTCAATAAAAGTAATACGCAGTGAAAGAGTGACTCTGCCCGCTCGAGCTTTCTGCTACCGCAGTTTATGTCTTGCGGGTCTAAGTAGGCAATGACCAATTTGTCCCTATGTAGGATAATATACTGCACGATAGCAAAAGGTCTCTGTAGAAATAAATAAAACTTCTACATAGAAGAAATCCATTAGAGTTAGTGTTACATTTTATTTCCATGTCCTTTCATTTTTAATCAATGATATATATATATATATATAGTAAATTAAAGTGGTATTGGGATAAAAGTAAGAATAAAAATGTTAATTTGAAATTGTTGCACAAGATTAAGTACTGTTAGGGATATCACTAGTTGGATATTTGTTGTTCTTGAATCATCCAAACCCAGGCCCTATTATTGGATAGAGTATTTGAACTCTATAAATACTTGATTAACTTTTTTAATTGATACCAGAATGTTCTATACACTATCCCATTAAATACCTATACCCATTAATTATCCGTTTAAAATATGTTTTTATGTATATAATTAATAAAAATTAAATTATAAATAAAATAATAAAATCTAAAATTATAATTGAAACAAATTAACAGATTTTTGTAAGTATTAAATTAATTATAAAAAATTATTAATAATAAATGATAAATATAAAACTAAAATTTAATACTAAAAATCATTATATATAATCGAGTTTGGATAATGATTATCTTAAAACTATTATCCGAATTCAATTATGAGATATTTTAATCTTGATTACAAAATAGTTAACCCATCCTTTAAGTATTGTATGAAAAGATACATAATTGTTGACATGAGCGAATAATCCCTTCGGGGTCCTTATTGAGAAATTAAGCTTGGTGGAACCTAACCAACCACGGAAATTATGCACTTTTTTTTTAAAAAAAAAAAGGCAAAAAGCAAAAAAATATAAAATTGTTAACTTTACTTTTTATTATTACTACTTTGTTTAGTTGTTTCAGCACAAATATTGAAACACAACAAAGCAGAAAATAAAAATGCACGTTGAAGAAATGATCATTTGCTTTGCTCAACTCTATGCTAAAGCCCCGACTTGCTTTTTCCACCAAAACAAGTGCTTGCAAAAGTTCAAGCTGTACCCAATCGAGGGCTATACATGCAATTTTCATTTGAATTGCCCTATGTTCTCTAAACAAGCTTGAATGCTATATGTCTCTCTCAACAACACACAGTGCAGAGACACTAATTTCGTGTGAAAGCATATTTCTTATTTCATTGTAGTCAAGCCATAACAAAGAGATGTTGGACAAATACTCCCAACTCTAAACGCTACAACAGAAAAAAAAATCTGATTATATTCGCTTTCACTGCATCAGGCCATCCCCAGAAAAATATTTAATCTGCTGACTTTGATTGGATATACATTGCTGTGTTTATGAAGAGCAAGATCAGTAAAAACCAATTTCATCTGTCTCTGTCAAACAATTATTAATCGTCTTCTAACTTTAAAGCTAAGCACTTGAATTTGAAGAAAGAAAAGAGAGAGCAAAGAAAATTACAACCAGAAAAGCAACCCCATAAAATAAAGGTGCAAGGCCCTTTAAGGACAGTTCAGACTTCAGGCCATATATAGCAACAAGACTCTTGTTTCAAGCTCAAACCCATATCTAGTTGCTCCCATAGAAACCCTCTTCAAAACATCCTTTCATGTTGTGACAAACAAGAGCTACTTAAAACAAACCATCCAGCTCTCAAATGGGTTTGCCCAGAAAATCCCTCACTATTCTATCTTTTTCTTGGTTTTCACTCACAATTCTTTTGGGGTCCTTTTCTTTTGTTGCAACAGGTGCAGATTATACTACTGTGGTCTTTAAGGGCTGTGCAGACCAGAAATTTCAAGACCCATCTGGAGTTTATTTACAAAACCTCAAAAACCTCATGTCAACTTTGGTTTCACAATCATCACAGAAAACTTTCTCCACTACCACCTCTGGTCAGGACCCTAATGCAATCATGGGCCTTTACCAATGCAGAGGAGACCTAACAACAAGCCAGTGTTACAGCTGTGTAAGCAAGATCCCAGAAATTAGTGATAAACTTTGTGGCAAAGCTGTAGCTGCCAGGGTTCAGCTGAGTGGCTGTTATCTAAGGTACGAGATAGTTGGGTTCAAACAGGTTCCAGAAACTGAATTTTTGTACAAGGTTTGTGGGTCAGCTCAGGCTAGTCGCACTGACTTCGAGGGTAGAAGAGAGACGGCCTTCAACATGACAGAAGATGGTGTGAAAAGTAGTAACCGATCGTTTTACACTGGAGATTATCAGTCTGTTTACGTTTTGGGTCAGTGTGAGGATGATTTGGCGAACAGTGACTGTGGGGATTGTGTGAAGAGTGCTTTTGAGACAGCAAAAGATGATTGTGGTGACTCAATTTCTGCACAGGTTTATCTGCACAAGTGCTACATTAGTTATAGCTACTACCCCAATGGAGTTCCGACCGTATCTTCATCTTCAGGTAAGAGATGGAGAGAAAGGAAAGGAAAAGATATCACCTTTCACATTAATATATTGCGAATTTGGTTTCTTGCTCCAATATGTCCATTATTTTTATATTTTCTATCACTTGTAGAAAGCCTGTAGATCATTTTCAATTTTCATTGCAAGGCAAAATCTCTTCCTGGACCTCCCGATTTTTGTTTTTTTCCTCTAAAGATAAAAATAAGTGACTTAGAATAATGAAGGATGTGGATTGTGGAGAGAGAAAGAGAGATTGCTCTCTTTGTGTGAAGAAGACAGCCGGATTTCCCTTGGTTTTTGTGTTTAGTCAAAAAGTTTTTAGTCGCTGGGGGCTGTAGCCGTGTAGAGGTCACTTTTCAATTAATTCTCCTTAATTTTGTTAGTAGTCCCATTTTTCTCTTCCTCCCTTCAACTGCTAGGGCAATGTCCTCGCAATTAAAATGTTGATTGTTGTAGGGACAGGGACAAGGCAACACACACAGAAGACAGTGGCAATCGCAGTTGGAGGGGTAGCAGCTTTGGGCTTTGTAGTCGTTTGTTTGATGTTTCTGAAAGCAGTGCTGAAGAAACGAAGTGCTAGTAAACATGAAGGTTCGAATACAACTCCAAATTTTTAGTAAACAGGTCTTACAAATTGTAACCATTTGAAAACTATAAAGTATCATTTAACATGATTGCATGCAGGGTACTGAGAGGATGAGCATCCTGATGATGGGTGGGTCTGAAATGCTAGAAAAAGGAGGAGCTTTTGATACGAGAAAAGAAGATAACCAAAGTTGGGGGAGAGAATTTCAATGGGAAATGTGAAGAGTCCCCACAGATACTCGAATACTGACCTGGTTGTTTTATGTGTTAAAACAAACATGTATATCCAACTATAGAGGCTAATAGTGATTAAACCAAATTTGTTCTATAATGCTGATGAACGAGAATATTTACCCAACCATATACAAAGTTTGTAAGCCAAAGCTTTGCAGCAAATTTTGATTTCCATTGGCTATAAGTTACCAAAATAGTCTACGTTTGAAGTCCTTTTGCAATCAAAGTTCATTTGTTTATTCAATCTTCCGGTGTCATTAGAGAGAATGGCATCTGTTGAACGTCTTTTAAGCAAATGCTCAACTTGGTTAATATACTTTACAAACTCATTCTGAAAATGATTGCAAAAAGTAAACATTCCAATATACAACCGCTTTTCTAGGTACTCACCATTAATTAATAAAAAGCTAATCTTGTAAATCATCTTGCAAAAACTCCACCATCCGATTCTTTCTTTGATTTGCCTTTTGTTTGCTACACTTCCACTCCGTAAGTACTTATAGACTTTTCCTTTAGTGGGTTTTAACAAGTTACTCAACTGAATTACGTGGCTGAAACTCTAGCTCCATTTGAGTCGCAAGCATAGAAAAAAACAAGGCATGCACAGCCAAAGGGACACGTACCCCAAACAAAATGTTGACTCTATCTTCGTTGATAAGGCAACAGCTCTTTTGCTGATTGCCATGCCCAGTGCCAACTACCTGTTGCATCTTTGTTTTTCATAAAATAACTATGTTAATCAATTTCCCAGAGAAATATCAGCACCAGTACCCATCCCTTTCTGATTTCAGCTCTCAAAGGCTACACCTATTCCACCAATCATTAAAAGCGTAATCTAGTGCACCCGGGTGGTAACTGGCAAGTGTTTTCTCCTCCCCGGTCCTAGCATTGCCTTCAAGTTCGACAGTATCCAACACTTTCTCCCCACCAATATTAAAAGCAGACATATCAACTTCACTAGTCTTCTTTAGGGCCCGACCTCTCTAATTCTCTATCAACCAGGATGATTAACCTATGAGATCATATTACCTCATTCTCTATGTCATGGCCACGTATACAAAGAAAATACTAGTTCCTAAAATCCAGGTCCAATTGATTCTTTCCTTGTTTTCTTTACCCCTTGTAATTTGCAAGATTTGGACCATCCAGCCTCATCACATGTTGCTCAGTACCCATCACTCCAACTGCTGTCTATTGCCTAACTTCACTTCATGCACCTTACATCTTGTTACAAGATAGCTAATCAAGTTGCAGGTGCCTTGGCAAGATAAGTAGCCGAGCATCAAAACCTTCAAAAGTGTTTTTCCCAGCCTCTTTGCAGTGATGAATACAGTATAAGCTTCGACCAGAAAGGTTAGTGTAAGGCTTCCACTATAAAGCTGTTGTCAACTAGTAATATAAATAATCAATTTTGCTATGTTGCTAAAAAAATAGATAAAATATCCTAATCTCCTTAAATTTTGATAGAAATTACATAGAAGTTCATTAGTTTTCAAAATAAACAGTCCGTCCCAAAAGCACAAACACCATTAACAGAAGTTATGAAAAGATTAAAATGCCTTTTCTTTCTTTATTAATTTATAAAAATAATTATTATTTTTTAAAAAAATAAATAAAAAAAAAAGAGCACCAATCGGTGCTCCCAAGGGAGGGGAGCACCAGGGAGCATCGGGCTCCCCATCTTGAGAGCACCAAGTGCTCCCTTGGGAGCCTCAATCAGGGTCCCTAGGGGAACATCGGTGCTCCCTTAGGGAGCCTGATCAGGGCTCCTCAAGGGAGCTCCAATGCTCCCCAATAGGGAGCTCTTTTAAAAAAAAATTGATAAAAAAATAATAATAAATAATAAAATCATATAATAATAATTATAAAAATTAATCAAGGGTAAAATTATCTTTTTACCCTTACCACATCAACAAGTTAATTGTTAACTAACAACTAGACCTATAAGTCCAGTGAAAAATATTGTTTTGGTACGGAGTGTCCATTTCGAAAACTAATAGACCTCCATGTAATTTTGATCAAAATTTAGAAGGTCAAGTATTACCTAAAAAAAAAACTTCTAGAAAACTAACATCCCTCACCAAGGAGAAAAAGTACTTTTCAACATTTTCACCTCTTTCCTTGATCATTTGATCCCCAAAATTGCATTTCCAAATGGTTATAAGTGAAATACAAAAGAATGTTGAAAGTTACATGTAGTTCATTCATCACCAAATATTTCCCTCCATTGAGTATATAGATGCCAAAGTTAAAAATATGAAAACATAAAGCAGGGCTACAATACCAGCATCCCCGGCAAATGAATTTTAGGTTATTAAACAACAAAATACTTTTGGTTCCCCTAGAAAAATCTATCCTTTGTTCCGGATCTCTAGGGAGCAAAGGTTGAACAGTGTGGTTTTAGTGCAAGAGTGTTCTCTAAAAAATCTTATACTACCCTCTTTCCCACACCCCAACCTTTTAAACAAAAGGTTTTAAGGAAAAAGGCATCAGAGAGCTTAAATTGAATACAGTATACATTTTTTCTCATCCTTGCCTTCAGTGCCTAGCTTTCTGTCAGACTACATTCTTCCCGTCCTTGCCACAGCACCTAGCTTTCTCATCTAAATATCTAAAAGATTTAACAACCAAAGCAACTGGAAAAGAAACAGCCTCAAAGCCTCCTAAGATAATTAGCTCAACCATGAATCAAACAACTAAAATCCCTCAAAATATTATTATCTCCCAGTTTGCTATATGATATATCACACCCTCAAATCGAAAGTAAAAGAACTGACGTGTTTTAGTTTTCATGCTATCACACATAGGACATAGCCATAACAAAATTAAAATCCCAATTTGCAACTACTTTGGTGGACCTAACTCCCATATCCCAGGAGTTCATGGTCCTTGACATTCTAGGTCCTAGTGGAAGCATATTAGAACCTTCAGGGGAACTACCAAATCCAGGAAGTGCAACTTACAATAATTCTCAACCATAGCCCTACTCCCAACTATTTATCACCAATGTTAGTGCTAAACATGAGAATGAACTTCATCATAAAGAGGACTAATACTGAAACATAAGACTTCCTAGAGAGAAGCAAGAACTCCTCACACATCTCTGTAGACCACGTACACTCAAATGCTGCACTGTAATCCACAAACACCGATTTATGGCAAATCAACCAAGTAAATGAACTTAGTACATCTTTGGTACATCTTCATCGCACTACCCCAATGACTACCCAGAACATTATATGCAATCAAACATTAAAAAATCATTTCAAAACCATTCAATTTCATTTACAAGCACCTCAAATGAACACTCTCAAACTAACAATAACTTCATCACAACAATATTAAACACTGCCCAATTTCACTTAAAATCCATACGCATAAAATAGATAACAGCAAGTCCAGTAACAACATTCTCACACGCAATTAAAACTAATAAAACCAAAAAGTAAAATCTTATTTAAAATTTTTATAGAAAAAAGATCCTAAAACTACTTCAAAAAGGTTTTATTACAACAACCAGATGAAAATGGCCTCAAAAAGGCTACAAATTTGATAACCAACAAGGTCTAACCTCATATGACCAGACCCGATCACTTAAGGGCCGGGCCAGTAGGCGGGGCACCAAGGAGACTAGCTTGCTGGAGCTCGAGCTCATTGAACTGCTGCTCGCGGTCCATCTCGATGATCAAAGGGACAACTAAGATCAAGAAGGTTGTTCCGGCGATCCAGGCGGCTTTGCCCGTGCTGCGAAGGAGTTTCTTGGAGACGAAAGCGGCGTCGCACGCAGCCTGCTTGCCACGTGAAACGATGGGGGAGGACGTGATCTTGGCGAGGATGTTGGAGTCGGACTTGGGGGCGGATCGCCTCTCGGGTAGGGAAACTCCACCTCGCCTGGGTTGGGCCGCCATGGTTTGTTTGGAATGGGGACGAGGGGTTTTGCTGGAGGGTTTTATGTGAAGACCGAAGAGCGAGGATTGAACAGGGGAAACATTTACCGTCGGGTGCACATTTTATGGGTTCTAGAAACTACGGAACAATACTGGCATTTCTAAGCTTGTTAGTAAGCAAAACAAAGTAATTTTTACGCACTACTTACTAGTAGTTAGTACAATTCCACTAAAGGTTAACACATTTTTTATTTGAATTTTGTAAAATTTACTATACATGATTTTCCAGATATATTAGATTTTATTAAAATATGAATAATTTAATCTAAATAATAAAATAATATTGACATAATGTTCAAAAATCTCATAAACTATTAAAAAATTTAAATAAATTTTTATTTTTTTATTACATTTAATCAATTATTTATATTTCTTTGAGTTAAATAAACTTTTATTATTAATGAATAATTAATTATCTTTAATTAAAATATCATTTATTATTTATTATCTACATGCGACTAATATAACGTTAATATAAAGATAAAAATGTACATGATTATATTATAATATCATATCAGTGTGATATCATTGTGTAAAAATGTCACTATATAATCAATTATAATTCATTAGCATGTCATATTCTCTTCAATTATGATATGTTAATACATCAAATCAGTGTCATATAACAAAAGACATTTTAACTAAATCAATTATTAGTCCTAAAGGTTTATTTAACTCAAATTAAAAATATAATAACTTATTTGGCTTAAAATAAAAATATAAGAGTTTAATTGAACGCAATAAAAGTATAATGGCTTATTTGAATTTTCCTGAATAATTTAAAAATTTTTCAAGATATTATGTCAATAATATTTTATGACTTTACATGTACAACTATAAATAATCCACACATCCATTACAAATCTATCATGAGGAATGATTGAAGAACAAATGCGCGAAGAGGATTGCACCAGATGAAAAAGGAGGTTGGGCGTCAACTAAGAATGGGGATAAGAGATTGAAGACTAGATAGGAGCAAGACACTAATGAATGGCGTCAAAAATTATTCATGGCTTACATTGACGATTTAGGACCCAAAGTTTTTTGGAATGACGTTAAGGAGTTCTTCAATGAGTATGGAATGGTAGTTGACCTCTTCATTGAAAGTAGAAGGATTGCCCCTAGATAATGGAAAAATGAGTATGTTTTTGTTAAATATAGATATAAAGAGGAAATATAGGGAGTGACAAAGTAAGGGAACCTGAAGAGATAGGGAGATAGAATAATTAAAGTTAAGAAAGTTAAGTATGGATGAAAGGAAAGAAGAAAAACAAAAGAGGAACAATAGAATTCGATCCACCAACCTAGGGAGATTGTTCGATTGAGATCATATAAGGAAGTTTTGGCACCCAAAATGAGACAAGGTAATCAACATAGAATGCCTAAGAAGCATAACGATAATGGCCAAATCCAACTAATCAAGATGGGATTGGCTGACATATTGACTGACATGGCGTGGTTGGATAGAAGTGTAGTAGGGGTCTTGAAGAAGGATATTAGCCATAGGGTTGTCCAATCTAAGTTACTTGGTCACGACATTCCAACAGAAATTAGGCTTATAGGAAAGAAGAAGGTTGTCACTATATTAGAACCGAAGGGTGAAATGGACATGGTCTTGGAACTGTATTTTGAGATTTTTAATGAATGGTTCGAATCGATAGTGAAGTACCGTGATTCGTAAAGAAAGAATTCTATTTGAGTGTACATTATGGTTCAAGGCGTCCCCTTGGCACTAGAATTTTTTCAAACTATTAAGGGTCAAATGGTGGAAAGTTATTCGCCTTAGCAAGGCAACAAGTTGGCTTAAAAGATTTGACTAGGCGTAAATGCTAACTGAGATTACCTAAGAACAAGTCTTCTCCTAATTAGTGTGGGTTAAGATGAATAGATTAAAGTTTAGCCTCAGAATTAAGACAAATGATATGGGGAAAAAAGTTTAGGAGGAATAATTATATGCTGAGAAAGTAAATTCTAATGGGAACTGTCGAGTCGAACATAAGGTCACAGCAAAGGACAATCAAAGTAAGGAAAAAGGAGACATATGAGTGAAGGCAAAAACATCTTTAGTCAACCAGAATTTCAAATTGGAATCATCAAGCTCTAGGGTTGTTAGGGAGTCAAAAGATGTTTGAAAAGAAGAAACCAAGATAGTAGTGGCAAGTGCGAAAGAAGGTTGTGATCTGAACAGTGTGGAAAAAGGAAATAGTCAACTTAAAAGGCTAGAAAAGAAGATAAGGCTAGACTCAAAAGCTGTGGAAAGAAGGCCTAATAATACCAAGCCTAAGTAAGGTAGAGAAAAATGAGAGTTTTGGGACTGATCAAAAGAGGCTAAGACCGAAGTTAGAATTAAGTGAAGCCCAAAAGAGTTAATTGGGGGGAAAAGCCCTGGCAAAAGGGTTAAGTCTAAGGCATTGATCAATCTAGAGAATAAAAATCCCAATTACCCTACGAGTAAAGAAAAGATATGGCAAGGCATTATTAGACTTGGCAATAGGAGATAGAAGAAGAAAAAAAAGTACTAATGTAGGTATCACAGAGCTGAAAAGGGTCAAATCTAAAAAAGTTATGGTGACCAAGGTAAAACTGGTTAAGAGAATCAACAAATGAAGGGAAGGACAATCTATTACGTAACTCAATGATAAAGAAAAAAAGAGAATGAGTAAAGGGAAGTAGGTGATGATACAAGGCAATGACAAAGCGAAAGTGGTGAACGTGGAGCTAAGAAAAGGTAATTCAACAAGTAGTGGACAATTAAGTAAGGAAATTTTGAAGAAAGAAAATAACAGTCATATGGGATTTGAAATGATTATAAATAGTAAAAGGCATGTTAAAAGCAATAAGAGAATAAAATTAATTGATAAATGTGGCATAAACAGCAGACCTATGGCTATTATCAATCAATTGACGAAAGGATTTAATGATGATGACATTAAGCATAGGAATGAAGTTATTATGAGGGAGGCAGAAGATACTTATGAAGTGGGAATCTAGTTAGGGATTAGCAAACCGTGATAAAGACCTTTGCAGCCATGGAGTCTGAAGAACTGTAATGTGGAAATAGAGAAATGTAGGAGAGGTATGTTATTCTATCGAAGTTTTTATTTGGTTACTAATGTTGGCTATTTGATGGAATGTCAAAGGCATTAGTAGGCTAGAGAAAAAAAAGGTTGTACATAATCTAGTTTAAACCATAAGCCTAAATTCATTCTTTTCCAAGAGGCCAAATGTCAAGAATTTACCTAGATGACAATTGAGAATATGTGGGGTAATGGACGGATTGATGGGCAATTTCATTAGTTGTTGAGACCATAGAGGACTGCTAAGTTGTTGGGATAATGAGTTCTATATATGAAGAAAGTGGTCATTGATAGGAGATTCATTTTGATTATGGGTTATGATAGGAGTTTCAACCTAAGACGCAAAGTAGGAAATGTTTATGGTCCAAACGTTGATTTAGAAAAAAGACAGCTATGGGATGATTTGGGAAAAATTATTAAAGAATAGAATATCCCCTGGTGCTTTTGGGGGGACTATAATATTGTTAAAAATATTAATGAAAGGATAAAGGTGTCCACAAATGAAAAGGCCATTAACAATTTTCTGAGTTCATTAAGGAGTGTAAGCTTACTGATTTGCCAATGTCTGGTGGAAATTTTACATGGATGAGTAACTGGAAATTAAGGTTTGATCATTTTTCAATTTCTTTAGAGATTTTGGAAGCCTATCATAATATTCATCAACTATGCCTACTGCGACCTATCTTGGACCATAACCTAGTTGCATTGAGTATGGAAGAAACAAATTGAGGATCGAAACCTTTCGATTTTATAACCATTGGTTGAAAGATGATAGCTTCTAACAAATGTTTGATAAGCCCTAGAAAGACTCAAATAAGGATAGAGGAGGTAAGGATGATGCATGATACAAAGTAAAGGAGACTAAAAAAATCTATCAAGGTTTGGCAGGTCAATAAATATGGGGTGGGCAGATAGAAAATCATTGAGGTTGAATAGGAAATACATCATCTTGAACTTTAGCAGCAAAGTAAGGGGAACAATGAAGAGACAAAAGGAAAAATTGTTAAGTTAATAGCCGAATTATGAGAACTACTTTGAGCGAAGAAGAGAATTTAGTGGCAAAAATCAAGGACTAGATGGTACATCGAATGGGACAAATACAAATGATTCTTCCATATGTGTTTTGGCAAGAAAGAGAGGTAATGCTATTATCACAATTCAAATTGATGATAAAATTGTGAAAGACTCGGGGGTGATGAAAATAAAGTGGCAAACTACCTTCAAGCTATATATAGTAAAAGTAATAGTGTGCTTCTTTGACTTGGTTAGTGATTTTAAAATACTTAGAAAAGGATAAATTGAGTTTCTAGGAAAACCTTTCATTGAACAGGAGATATGACATACAATTGAAAATTGCGATGGTAGTAGAGCTCCTAGACCAGACGAATTCAGCCTTGGTTTTTTTAAAAAGCAATGAAGGAACTTAAAAGAGGGAATTATGAAGATGTTTGAAGACTTCCACAAATTTGCAACTTTGAATCAATAGATCAATACCTCTTTTATTATGCTAGTCTAAAAAAAAAACAACCCCACTACCATCAATGAGTATTTCCTTATAAGGGTTTGTCAAACTATCCACGTATCATTAAACAAACAATATAGTGAAAAGTAATGTGTCAATCCTACAAAGAATTGAATTAATTCTTACTATTAATTACTAAAATTAACACACCTTAACCTTATTCAAATAATCAAATTTAATTATTAAAAAGAAAAATCCAAACTAACAACTAACAACTAAGCGAAAAAATTGTCTAAGAATTCAATGAACTATCAGACCTAGAATTATGATATTCCTCAATACTTCATCTAAATATTGTCTCTCTTTCTCTCATAATTTATTTTAATGGATTAAGTTACTAACCTAAAGTCTCAAATTATCTACAAGTCTCTCTCAAGTTTCTTATAAAAATATCTTTCCTAATTAACTTATTATATCTTTATGTAAATTAAATTAAAAAAAGATTTATTA